CTCTATAATGTTATAGTGTGACAGGCCCTTTAGGTTGATCAGTTGTGGCGGCAGACTCCAAAAGTTAATCAGTTGTAGCTGTACATCACAATAATTTCTTTCTGTAAGTTTTAATAGAATCTGTGCAGTGGTTCATAAAATATTTTGCTGACAGACAAACAGGGTTAGATCCAATAGCTGATGCCAAAATTTTCAGTAAATTTGTTGTGCAATGTGTTGCACTCAGATTATGTGTTGGGGTCGATGTTTGGCTATTACCACACCAAAGTTGTGCCCAAAATCTGTACAATGTGTTGTGTTGTAACCTTTTATGTGTTTTCTAATGTCAGCTGGCTGTGGAGAGCATCTTGAAGTGGATTGTCTCCAAAAATCAGTTGTAGATGTCAATCCAATGATTGATTTCTGAAAGTTTCATTTAAATCTGTCCAGTGTTTCATGATATATTTTGCTAACAGACAAACAGAGTTAGATCCAATAATTAATGCCAAAATTTTCAGTAAATATGTTGTGCAATGTGTTGCGCTCAGATTATGTGTTGGGGTCGATGTTTGGCTACTACCACACCAAAGTTGTGCCCAAAATCTGTAAAATGTGTTGTGTTGTAACCTTTTATGTGTTTTCTAATGTCAGCTGGCTGTGGAGGGCATCTTGAAGTGGATTGTCTCCAAACATCAATCAGTTGTAGTCGTCAATCCAATGATTGATTTCTGAAAGTTTCATTTAAATCTGTCCAGTGTTTCATGATATATTTTGCTAACAGACAAACAGAGTTAGATCCAATAATTAATGCCAAAATTTTMAGTAAATATGTTGTGCAATGTGTTGYRCTCAGATTATGTGTTGGGGTCGATGTTTGGCTACTACCACACCAAATCTGTGCCCCAAATCTGTAAAACACATTGTGTTGTAACCTTTTATGTGTTTTCTAATRTCAGCYGGCTKTGGAGGGCAYCTTKAAGTGGATTGTYTCCAAACWTCAATCAGTTGTAGWYGTCAATCCAATGATTGATTTCTRAAAGTTTCATTTAAATTTGTCCAGCTTTTCATGATATATTTTGCTAACAGACAGACAAAAGTGGCTCAATAACTTCATAAACTGAGTTATGTTTGGCAGTTTAGCTGTCTCAGCCTAATAGAATGCTCAGTTTTTGATGATTTACTTTACATTACATTAAATGTTGTTCTGAGGCCAATACGATATTTTKCTATGGCAGGCAAATGAACACACATTAACTTAATCATCCTTTGACCTGCAGGTGATCATAAAATAAAAGTTTCATCATCAACTTTAGCTTTTAAACAACTGTGTGGATGGATGGATGGATGGATGGATGGATGTGTTCATATATATCTTATCTACAATACAAAGTGTTGATATTGAAATGTGAAGATGACAAAATAAAAAAAATGACCAAATGTTTGCCTATTTTGGATTCAGTTCGCACTCGTCTGTGGTGTTTTAAAATGTTGCCACCTCTCCTTTCCGACTCCGCTCTCACATCCTCACTCTCGTCCAAAAACTTTGTCACTCTGTTGCTTTGAATAAACACTAGAGGTATTTTTAAAAAGCCAAATTTAAAATATGTAAAATATGATGTGTGAAAAACAGGAAAAATCTCATGCTTGTTTATTGCGTATGTGTGTGTGTTTATGTGTGTATGTCCACATGTTTGTTAGGCTGTGAATGAGGATCCACACAGGCTCTAATGATGATAAAATATGTTGTTAATGTTGGGGGTTATTTTAGTCAACTGGCAGTAGTTAAAGAGGCGGTTGTGTATTGTGTGTTCAGCCAGTTGTGTGTGTGTGTGTGTGTGTGTTTTAATTGGACCTCACTGAGCCAGTCTCCAGGTGACAGAACTCATCTGCTCTTCCTCTGATTAAGAACAACAGATGGACTGGTAGGAAAACACACACACACACACACACACACACACACACACACACACACACACACACACACACACACACACGGGTGCTCTCAGTCATAATGCATCATCAAAAAGAACATTGAACACACACATTCAGTACTCGTCACGCAGCCTGTAATCTATAAGGAGTCTAACTTTAAAGTCATCGTCTTCGTCATCATCATCATCATCATCATCATCATCATCGTCATCATCACTGCAGAGCCTGGAAACAAACTTTATTCGCTGCCCTCATTTCTCTGCAGATCATCCCCATCCTGCCTCTTTAACTTGACATGTCTCCATCTACCTGACTGACGATGATGAGTTCATTAAGGCCGTCGTGAACAGGAAGCAGTTCAGCTGGCTAAAGACCAAAAACAGCTAAATCTGGATTCAACACGTGGGTTTCAGTAACTGTTCACTGTTGGCACTTTGCTGAAGATTCTATCAGTTATACTAATAATGATGAAGGTGTGTTCTGTAAAAACCAGATGAGTAACAAAGATTTCCAGGAGGAAGGACTCRCGGAGCCGAAGAAGCAAAAAGGGAAACCAACATTTTTTTAAAAAGCAGAACTATAAACCAGAGAACAAGGACTGAAAAACTTTGTTTAATACAAGAGGTTTTATAGTGAAATATGCAGCTCRTTTACCTGAATACCTTTGCCCAAAAGTTCCTTTTTTAAAAATACAAAATAACTCCTGGCACAATTTGTTTGATCCAGTTTTTAGTAAATGTGCCTTTGATGCAAAAATACCAAAGGAACAGATCCATCCTTACTCTATTGTTTTATTWCTTTACTCATGTGTTCATAGGCAGTGTTGTATAAAGTACCTCAAAGTGATACTTGAGGAAAAGTATAAGTATCTTATAAAAATACTTTGGTAAAAGTTAAAGTCTCCTGTAGGAATATTACTTGAGTAAAAGTCAAAGTATCTGATTGTTTTTGTACTTAAGTATCAAAAGTAAATTTCTGACAAAATCTACTTAAATATTAAAAG